GTAGCTCATGGAAATGGCCATTTTTATTGAGACACTGGAACTGTACAGGGGAGACCGATTCTGCCCTCACTGGAGTACAATTCTGGTAAGGGTGAAAAGAGAGCCAAATGGAAAGACACCTCTGCCTGAATTTTCTGCTTTACTGCTGTCTCAACCTTGTCCTCAATTAGCTCAGCCCATGTCTTTCAAACACTTCAACACAAAGATGAAAGCTGGACTCCGTCTGATTTGCAACAGCTCAAAAATTTATTCACAGGTGAAAATGAACAGGTAATCTGATAAAATCAGCCTTGACGAGCTTGACTGGGTGAAAATTACCTCCAGAACATCTAGAAAGAAAACAAATCCACCATTCAGATTTCAAGGAGTCACCTTCTCAGATCTTTATGGCATCTTAAAATGTAACAGCATATCAACAGGACAGAAATTTCAGCCCCTGACTTTAAATCAGCTATGGATAATGGGAGGAATTTCAGTTATGGAGCTTTTTTGGTGAGCAAGCAGCTGTATTCTTTTGGAATTTCTATCAATCCAGATATAATAAAGAGAGTTATTATCTCCATTGAGGCTAAATTAGCCTGCCATAATGCATCTGAAATATTATTGTTTTCTGCAGTTCAGACTTAGTGAGCAGCAGCATGGAGACCGAACACAATGCTGAGCATTTGAGAGCAATTTAAATGACAATTTTTCTCCATATTAAGGTTCACAATAATGTTGAACCTGAGTGACTAAAATATGACAAAATTGTTGATGCAGGTTATATGTAAGGTAAAACACAGTTTGGATTGTGTGAGCAGTAAAATAGCAAAGGATTCAGATGTCATCTGAACAGTTAATTTGCAGTGTATGAATATTAAAATACGGCTGCTTTTAGATGAAAATTTGTGCTCTCCGTAACAATATATACCTGTCCAGAAATGTATGTATTATATTATCAACAGATTTTTGTTACCGGCACCAAGTGTGATGCTGGACAGAAATGCAATGGAGTCTCATGTAAGTAAACTAAATACAAAGCGATCAAGTGTTTTTCTATGTAGCCAGAGAGAATAAAGATTGAGGAGTGTGTCACAGGGAGGATAATAGACCCAGCAGTGTGTTTACCCAGGATAACACATAGCAGATGGTGTGCTTGTACAGGGAAAGAATGTAGTTTGCTGTGTCTGTGCAAAGAAAATCATATAGCTAACCCGATACAGGATAACAGACAGCCAATATTATCTTCATTTCATAAAGCACACAGCCAACGCTGTTTTAAGACAAGTTACCACATATGTAATAATATAATTCTTAAAGGAATTTTAAATTTTAATTTTAAATTTAAACTTTTAAACGAATTCAAATGGGAAAGGAAACCGTGGGCTGAATTTTAAGTTTTTCTGGTTGTCAGTTTCATCGAGGTACAAGAAGCATTTCTTGCTGTGAGACCTGGCAAGATCTCTTGCCATATCTTATCAAATTTTACTCATGAACTACTTACCTCATCTTTATGCTGCCCTCCTCATCTGATTCTATCCCCTTTCCACCACTCACTGTACCTGTAACAATTTGTCACTGCTGAGATGGCCTGGAATGGACTGACATCCCTGGCAGCAGCGTGATCTTTTACAAAAATCACTCAGCTGCCAGACATGCACCGTCAGTCCAGAGCTGCCTGGCATGGTTCGTGGTATTTGGCCTGGACGTGACAGAGAAGGGAAAACTGGCATCACACTTTGCGGGCAGGGATCTGGAAGTAGATGGGGCGGTGCAGAGGCATTAATCCAGAAACAAGAGTGGAGGCGATGACACTAGACCATGCCAGCCATGTCCAAAGTTAGCACCTGGGTCAGTGCAATTGTAGCCATCTGGAGGACTGCACTGCAGTGTAGGAAGGAACCTCAGCCATTCTACCAGAAAATTGTTGGAAATGTTTCGGAACAGACAGCAGTCAGATAGGAAGGCCATCTGAGGAATTTTACAGGCTCTCCAAAAACCCAAACCCATCAGTGGGGGAATGTTAAAAATCGGCCCAATTGTTACCCTGTTGTCCTTCTGATCATTGCAAAGAAATTCTGCCAAGTTCCTTGTGGAGTTTCTATTATCAGGTGTTATACTTCCTGTGTTTTTTTGGCATTTCATCACTCAGCTTTAATGTGGGCCTAGTTTCACTGTTCACAGCAATCCACACACAGACTACTTGTGCTTGACATGTAACTTGACCTTTTACTGCCACAATCTGCCTGACTTCCAATTATTTTGATGTGGCACTGGCAAGGATGATTGATTAACTGAGGATGTACTTTATTGATTTAAAGAAACCAGCCCGAACATTGGTATTAAACAATGTCTAATATGGACCAGAAACACTCTTATCAATGCACCACAGCAACACTCCATGACTCAAAGTGCATCGATTTGTTTCACTGAAGGAAATATCCCCAAAACTTTCAATTTTGTAACTTCCAGTATTAAAGGAAAGAAAATCAGATTACAACCAATCAAGCACAAGCATTAGAGAATAGATGATAGATCCTAGTAGGACAGACCAATACTTCTTCCAGTGACTGTATAAACTGGGAATTGGATGGCTTTTTTCATGATGCATGGATATTTTCTACAGTCAGCATGTGAACTTGGTAGCTGATGAGTGCCAGTGTGGCATGCTAACATGTCAGATATGCTGGACGAGTCAGATTGCCTGTGTGATAATGGGACACTTTATGTAGCAGGCTGTCAACCATTTCAATAAACACAATAGCCACCACAATATTACTTACAACTAACTTAAACAGGAGACCAATGAAATGTAAACTCTCTCCACTTCTTTAGCTACATTCTAAAGTAAATTTTAGAAGCACCTTATTGGATCTAAAGTGCTTTGGGATATCCTGAGGTTGTGAAAGATATGATATAAATGTAGGAATTACTTTTGTTTCCTTTTTAGTACTCGACCAAAAGAGACAAAGTATGAAAAAGAGAAGGCCCTTGTATCTTTTAGGGATTACGCAGTCAACAAAAACATGGAACTGGGATCCAGGAAATGTGTAGTGTACAACCTTGATAAAGGGGTTTATGCATGTGCACTATCCATAACAGGCAAAACAGTAATGTGGTGGCATGACCCAATATACCATTGATTTGAAACTTACTGTTTTCGAATTCTACACTCAAGCCAACACACCGTCATAGTCTACACAGCTTGTCAACCAGTGCTGTTTAAAGGATCATAAAGTATCCACAGCTTATTTGTTGGTTGAAAAGTATATGTAATTTGGAGGCTTCAAATACATGACTTTCTTGCATGTTCAGCATTCTTCAATGTATGTAGCACAGATTGCATACACAAAAAGCTACCATGAATGCGCAAGGACAAGGAACGGAATGGAGGAGCAGCATGAGTTACTTGTAAAGAGGGCCAGAACAGACATGCTGGCACAAATGGCCGCCTTCTGTGCTGTAAGAATCCTATGATTATATTGCCTTGCTGTCATGGTGAAAATCGTAAAGTACATCGGAGACTTAATCCCTGCTCCAAAAGCCATCATTTTGCACTTTACACAGAGGATGGATTTGAGGCAGGCTGTGATTCACGCATGTGCAGTCCAGAAGGCCATTTAAAGGATCAGCTGTCTCCATTCGAACCATATTGTGGAGTCTCTCATGTCTAGAACGCAGAGTGTGGAGATCAGAACAGGTAAGAGCAGGTCTGCATTTCCTTTGCATAGCCAGTCTAGGTGCCCCTTTGGAGAGTGAAGGACACCTGTAGAAACAGTTTTAATTAATGGGGGTCAGGTATCCTTTGGCGGATAGGTGGATTTAAGACAGTAATATTTGGTTGGGGGCATGGAGGTAAGTCTGGTGCCCTTTGGGGTGAGGGTCATGTACCCTGTAGGATTATTAATTATTGTATCAACCTTATCTACCAATGCTATCTCATATCCCCTCTTTGCCTTCCTGTTTTCTCTCTTAAGAATGCTCCTACAGTCTTTATATTGATTAAGAGATTCAATTGAACCACGTTGTCTGTATCTAAAAAAAATTCTCTTTTATTCTTGACTACAACCTCAATACTTTTATTCATCCATTGTTCCTTGATCTTACCAGCCATTCCCTTCACTCTAATAGGAACAAAATGCCTCTGAACTCCCGTCATCACATTCTGGAACACCTCCCAGTTGTCAGACATAGCCTTGATTTGCAATGGAGGGGGCAGGGGATGAAGAGGTGTGAAGGGGCTATGGGGGGGATTTAAGAAATCTTTTATGTTTTATTTCAGTTATTGAACAGAGTGCTGGAATAGGCAAGCTTTTCAATCAGCCCACCTTGGAACCAAGTAACATTCTCATCTTACTTAATGTGTCATTCAGATCAGGGAGTGCAGATGGTCATGTTAATGATCAAGGTCGTGTTGTTGGGAAGTATCCAATTTAATATGCTGCCTGTAACACAATAAATGGGCACGGATTAACAACAAAAACTTGCATTGTGTTGTGCCTTCATGCAGTAAGATACCTCTTAAATTTAAACAAAATTTGACTTGAGCCACATAACATTAAGAGTGGTGACCAAAAACTTGTTCAAAGATGTTAATTTTAAGGAATATCTTAAAGGAGGAAAGTGAGGTGGAGAGACAGTGAGGTACAGAGAGATAATTGGGCTCATGGAGGCAAAGGCATGACCATCACTACTGGAGTGACAATGTGCAAGAGATTAGGATTGGAGGACTGCAGAGATCTCAATGGGCTGTACAAGGTTACAGAGAAAGAGAGAGATGAGACTATCTCCAGCATCTGCAGTTTTTTGTCAGGACATGAGGCCATTCTGACATTTGAAAAGAAGGATGAAGATTTTAAAATCAAACTGTACTCCCAATCCCAAACCTGTTTTGGGGGCTTATTCAATGTAACTCCCTAAAATCTCGAGTGAAAATAACCCTCTCTGATTGTGTTACTAACAAATCTACCACAATGCAGTTTGAGTATATTGAAAGCTTTTCTGCAATGATGTGTTTTTACCTTCCTCGCAGTTCTCGCCTTTGAAGCCTGCAGAGCAGACACAGGTTCCCGCGGTGCAGGTCCCATGGCCTCCGCATGCAGGGTCAATGCACTGACTGGCAGGGACATCACACTCCGCTCCCTTCCAGCCGCTGTAGCAGATGCAGTTCCCCTTGGAGTATTGACCGTTACCACTGCACAGTACAGGGCAAGCAGCTGATGAGGCACAGGCAAAAGAAAAGACAAACAAAGAAAGAAATAACAGCTTGTTTCTGTAGTAACCATATGCTTGTATTATAAAATGCATACTTGAAAAAAATAGCCATTCTGTGAACTTGCTAAAAAATTGAAATTCAATTTATACAAAGAGGATCTAGTGTGTCTCATGTGAGAAGGTCATTTCCATGGCTTATTTTTGACATTTGGGGGTAAGAATTCCTTTGATTGTTCTGTGCAGTCATATATCAAATGTGTTTTTATAGAGTTCCTCAATTCTAAGAGATACTGTTTCGAATTTCCTGAGAGTATTAAACAGACAAAGTCTTTGCAAACACATTTATCACGTCGCTATGCACTGTGGATAGAGGAATTTTCAGCCCATTAAAATCTCTCATGAAGTGACAATAACTCTTTTGATGTTACAGTAGTTTGTTCACAACCACAGAAAGCTGCTGTCAGTGTCTTCACATATTTAAAAGGGACTGGCATTTTTAAACTGCACGTACATTGTTTTTTCCGTACATACAATCATTTTTTCCTTCTAAGTTTGGTTTCCTTGGATGCCACCCCAACCTCCATTGATAAAGGGCTTACTCCTTTATGTCAGATTTGGCACTCTTGAACTAACTGCTAAGTTGCCACAATAGCTTGCCCCAGCCCATCTGGAGTAACAGAGTAAAGTTGGCACTGCAAATTCAGAAAAATATATATTGGCCCTACAGCAGATTCACCAGAATACCAGGGTTTGGAGTGTAAAGTTCTGAGAGCAGATTGTATATACTTGGCTTGTATTCCTTGTATAGTGGAGACTGAGGGGGTGATCCATCTGAGGTGTTTCAGGATTCGATGGGTAGGCACCAATAATTTATTTCTTCTGATAGAGAAATTTGGATCAATAGGACCTAAATGTATTTAGATCAAAGACAGGTGAGTAGAGTTGAAGTGTTAATGGAAGCAGGTAAGAATGGAGAGTCATAGAGGGTCCAGTTGTTACTGGGATCCCAAGGAAACATTAAGCAAATGAATAAGGGCAGGGGAGTTGGGGTGCAGGGAGTGGGGTGGGGGGGTGTCTGAATTAAAGGTTATGGGAGAGTGGCAGTGGATAGGGCAGGCAAGTTGGATAACGTCCAAGGTATTCTCAAGGCCCACGAGGGTAACACGTAATGCTGAGAGAGGGCACATTTTGTTGAAATGCATTCATCAAGGCAATTCACAAAAATACCAATTTAAAGGGAAAACTTCTAAGAGTGTTGATTGATTGGCAAGTGGATGTTGGTTTTATCTTTTCTCAGCAAAACTCAAATTTTGTATTACCAAACAATTTTAACAATTAATACTGGCCTAGATTTTGTAGGGCACTTTACGGGCTTCCTCCACCATGCTAAAATGTTGGCATGGAGCCAATTAACTGGCTATTATTCGATCAAAATAGGGGAGTTTCCACTCCTCAGGGTCAGGAAGCCGAGCCTCCCAGTGCTGTCAGCCAGTCCATCAGGAGTGGTGGCCATTTGTGGTACTGCACTTAGAGCTTGAGGAGGCATTGAGCACTGAATTGGAAATTTGTCAGTGTTTGGGGATCTCGCTGATGACAAGCACCCAAGGGGCCATTAAGGATGGACCCCCTCCCAGCCACCAGCCCACACAGGGTAACCACTGAGCTGCTCACTTGGTGTTAGCTTCTCCATCAATAGTTAAATCCTGACAGTGGTGGGATAAAGTCCTTAAATGGGTCTTACTTGGCCACACAAGACTACTCATGCTGCTGGTAAAATTGTGGTGGGGCGGAAGTGACAGGTTGTATGATTTTATATTTGTCCTGCAAGATTTTATGTGCCACCTGTGTTCAAGCTTGCCAATGGGGGAGTGTACAGCCCAGTCAAATTTCTTACCTTCGCTGACATCCTGGGGTTGATCCCACACTGGCATAAGACAAAATGCCATCATGATGTCAATGAAATCATTGGGCTGAGTTTCAAACTAGGACCATGCCTGTCTACAGCAGGAGCCTTAACCAGCATCGAAGTTAGTGAAATAAAATGTTGAAAAATTCTAACCGAATCGCTGATGTGGCCAGATAAAGATGATGTGGGGTTTAAAATAAGCTCCTATTAGTACCAGAGCCAAACCATGTCAACCTCTGGAACCAAGGTTCAGATTCAGTCCAGATAAAGAGTTAGGGAGGATAAAAGTCACCTTTCTCACAGCTACGAAGGTTACCAAGGACACAACGATAATTTCAGTTAGATCTGTAGAAGAAACTCCCTGCTGAAATATGCTCTGAGAGTGTTGTCACTTGAGATTTAAAGCAGCAGCAAATGTAATTACAGTGGGAGACTTGAATCTGCAAAGCATTCACCTGCTTTGGGAAGATGATTTTCCTCACTGTTTGAGGAGATACATCTCATACTCAACAAGATAACAGTGTGCTCGAGACAGGAATGTTTTGCCTACTTTGTACATAATGGTGGAGTTCTAACTTGGCTCTCTTATAGCTTATTCACAACTTGCAACTTTTAATTCCATAATGATAAGAATGTTATGAAAATCATATCCAAATGGAAAAGACGTTATCACATGTAGTACACAAGGAATTTGTTATTAAGTTGCAATTTTTAAAATAAATACTTTTTGTCATGCTATAAGTAATTAATTTATTGTATATTTATTTGAATGTCTAATTGGTTTTCACTGCTACTTTCAATTAGATATTTTCTATAAAAAGAAAACAAACATTTTTGCATGGAATTTTGACACCTTCTGCCACCAAAATCAAGTCAATTTGAACTCAAAATTTGTGCAAATGTTGGTCTAGCACCACTGAACTTCAACGAGGGTGAGTGAGACATTGAGGCTGTTATCAGAAGCAGATGGACAGGCAGGTCAGAGCAGTTTTCATATGGAGCTCTTCGAACTCTCACTTCAGAGGGAAGGTAAAGCAAAGCTAACAGGTAGTGTTTGAATCAAATGAAAGCGAGAGGCAGTCATAACAGAAGGATGGGTCATTGTCAGGTGTGTGCCATCATTATCCTCATGTACCTCCAGGAACACTCTGCTGAGGTAAGCAGCAAATTTCACAACATGTAATTAATCTGCTGTGTATTATAATTGATTTAGTTAAAAGGAAATCTGATTTTTTTTTAAGACTGAACCAAAGGATGCTGATGTATATTAAAAGCATGACAAGTGACCCTGGAGAAATCAACAAATTAAAATACACAGCTGTTTAATTAAACTTTCCAGAAAGTTCCTTAACATTTTTGCAGATGTTATTGCTGATTGATGAGGATAATAATTTTATACAACTGTAAGTGGGTTTAACTGCCAACAATACTTCATTCATGCTGCTTTTCCTTAAATAACTGTAGTCAAATAAATGCTTTTTGCTTTTTACATCTGACATCAATGCAGTAGGTCAGGGCTTTGTGCAAATGGTAGCTGAGTGGCCAAGTGAACAAAGTACTCACCTTTTTCCGCTGAAACCCATATGATTGGTAAGATGCTGAGAAATCGGTACAACTACAGGACCAGTGCAGGCAGCTCATGACATTGGACTGAAAATGTCCCATTTATATGACCAATATGCTAATTCCCTCTTCCCACCCATGTCTACAGTCTTAAATATTGGCATCCTAGGGTTTCAGGAGGTCCTTCACATTCCAGCTGGAGGTCTGTGAGCACCAACTGGGGAAGTATTTCACCATTGCCAGTGCTGAGGAGCCAACACAACACTTTGAGGATTTGAGCATTTCCAGCTTCTTACAACTTTAGTACTCAGTCACCTCTTAAATATGTCTCTTAAATCATTCAACATTGCTCTATTATTCCGCAATGTTCATACAGCTCTTGGGTTCTTTTGGGGCATGGGGAGATATAAAGCACTGGTGTTTTTGGTATGCTCACAGTAAACAGCTGCCCCCTGACTGACGTCTTGTCAGTGGTTGTACCACGAGCTATGTGCTCTTTAACATGTCTCTTTGCCAGGGTGGGTAAGGGTGGGAGTTTGAGAGAGGGTTAGGAAGTTCTCCCAAAATAGATTGAAATAACTTGGGAAAAGTGTGACATAAATAATACGGAGGGAAATAATAAAAAAAGAAAACGTACCCTTGTGTTTAAATTTAGAAAAATGTCGCCGTCCTTGAGTAGAAAGCCATAAACAAACAAGAATGCAAAACAAAAATAAAACAGCAAACTCAGAATGAGAACCAATATCTGAAAAGATGAAGCTTTATTCACATCTGTACCTGGAAACAGCTCAACCTGGCAGTGGAGAACCTCCCCTTTTTATGAAAAATTTAACTATACAAAAACATCTGGAATTTAGGTTCTTACTGATAGCGTTACACAAATCAAATTCATCCCACTCGATAACCATGTTTGCCCAGCTGCTGCCGGGTTCAGTTGCTGCAAGGTATCACATTATGGTCTGTCGAAGTGCCTAAAGTCTAAACAATGTAACTTTTTTTTTAAACCAGATCTGTTACATTAAAAAAAACTCCACCTTTCTGTCCTGCTTTCCTGAAGAAGATGACACATGATAGCATGGTCTCCGGAACCATGGCAGCTCTTCAGATGCACACCCAAGTAACCATGCTGTATGTGTGGGCCAAGGCAGTGGCTGCTGGTTGGCTACTAAGCTATGGGAAGGAAGGAGGGGAGTGGGTGGTTGGGTGGATTTGGGCATTGCAATTAAACCTTGCCAAGAGTGTTTACCAGATAATTATTGGGAGCTTGAACCATGGCTGCATTTTGCTCTCCTTCCTACTTTGGGGACATTGAGGGTCATGGGCTGTCCTCCTGCGTGTGAGGCTTAGATAAGATCAGATCATGAGACGTATTTTACACTTTTCATTCTTTATGGTTCTTTGTGACACCTGTAAGAACACTCACTTATCTTGGCCCAGTAAATATTATGTCAAAAATATTCCATTGCATCCTGATAAATTTGTGTCAAGCAGCCTTCTTGATTCAGCTCTCTGGTCTATGAATTGCAGACAAAA